GTGTTCGTCTGGTCTAACACCTGCTCAAGCCATTCCACAACATTCCCTCCACATGCCACCCAATTCCCGTCCTCTGGCATCTCCTCAGCCCTCTCACCGGAATTCGTGCAAAGGTTCCAGAAGCTCCCCAGCCCCACCGAGGACGCCACCGACGCCGCCGCGGAGGAGGCCGCCGCGCCCCAGGAGGCGCTACCGGTGAGGGGCAGCAGCACCGGGCGGAAGGTCTCCGCTTGGTCGAAGGATAACATGTGGTCGACCTGCCGTCGGACACACACGGCCCGCACAACTTGGCGCTCGAAACATGGCGCGCAGGACACGGGCGCGGGGGGGGGGGGGGGGCGCGCGCCGGGCGTAGTGGTTGGCTCGATGCACATGTATGTGTTTTTGGGTTGTGGAAGGGGGATTTGCACGCAGTCTTGCTGACATGGGGGTGTTTCTCCCAAGCTTAGTGAGTGGTTGCGTTGTCATAGGGGGAGGAGAAGGAAAAGCAAAACTACCAGGAGATACCAGGAGGATCGGCCTTCTGTAGGTCAAAGCGAAAAATCTGCCTTGGTTGAAGCTGGCCAAAACCAGTAGAAAAACGTCAGTCGATCAAGTTGGAAGCATGGTTCAAGTGGGTTGAGCAGCGTGCTCGGTAGACCGACACGAATGCCAGTCCAAGGCAGTAGAACTTATCATCTATTAAATCGATTATCATCTACCCGATGAGCAGGGATTTGCCTAACTACACTTGTATAACTACATCCACTGGTCATTGACCCCGGCTGCCATCAAAACATCCCTGGGTGTCATCCGAACATCTCAGTGCTTCACTCACTGTAGCACGCTCCACATGAAGCCAAGGACTGCAATCGCGACCTGAAGGGGCCCCCACCGACGTTTGACCTTTTGAGGTATCCGTGCCATACGAGACGTCACACCATCCCTGCCTTCAGCTCGCGTCCATCCTTCATGTGCAGGGTGATCTTCACCTCAACTGCTTCGAAAGTGGTGACATAGAAGCATCAAACAACTTCGCTGAAAAAGGCTGATTGGGATCAAGTCATGACCTTGTGTGATGGTTTGTTTGTCTATGCCCTTGCGCACCGACGACACCAAACGGTGTCATGGCATCAAAGAAGAAGAAGAAGAAGCAGGAGGAGGAGGAGGAAAGAAGAAAGAAGAAAGAAGAAGAAAGAAGAAGACAGAAGAAGAAGAAGAAGAAGGAAAAAAAAAGAAGAAAGAAGACGAAAGAAGAAGAAAGAAGAAGACAGAAGAAGAAGAAGAAGAAGAAGAAGAAGGGATCAGGTGCTGAAGCTAGCTTCCAAAAGCAAGCACATATCATCACATCTCATCCCTTGATGTGTCACTAAAGTACTCCAGGATGGTCGCCAAGGAGTCATCCCGGGAAAGCTAGATTTTCTAAGCAACTTCTTCACTCCCAGAATCCATCTGAACTCATCCCCCAAAAAAAGACACCTCTCAAAGAACATCTCACAGACACCTGCCAGCCCACACCCCATTGTCCCAATGTTCAGCCTCCCTTCCCATCACATCTGGCCTCGAAAGTGCCCCAGCCCAGGCGAGTGAGCTGGAAGGGCGGCTGCTGGACCTGACCGCTGCCGCTTGGCGATCCAGTTCGGTGCAAAATGCCGCCGACACGGGCGATCCGACACGGGATGGAAAGTGATCCAAATAAATGTTCAAGTGAAGTCTTTCCCATTGGCAGCCATTGGTATGGATTATTTTTGAAGACTGGTTGGGTTCCATTGGAATGTTCTGGAACCTTCTAGGAGGCCCTCCCACGCAAGGGTAAGCCCCGTCCGGGCCACCACGCGAAAACACCTCCTGTCCGGGACTCCCAAAGTGGAACCCCCTTTCAGGCGATTAGATTCGGGGATGGTGGTGACTTCACGGACTTCAACGCTCCGGATCCAGCCGAGGGGGGGAGGACACCCATACCGCGCTCGGTGGAGAACCCGGCCGCGGTCCGGGTCCGCAGCCGGGACCGGGAGCGCGCGCCCGGCGGCCTCAACGATGGGGTCACGGAAGGTCTCGTGGAGCTCGAAAACCACCTCTTCGGAGTGGAGTGGGGCTCCCAGGAGTCAAGTCAGGCGTGGGTAGTGAGAGCGCCTTGAAGTCATCATGTGTCAAAAGCCTTTAGTAGGCCTAACCTCTATATAAATACCAAAAGGCCATGGAAAAGAAATGGGAAGAACCATTGAGACCAAACCACCCACATCTACCTCCAACACTTCTCCCCAACACCTCCAACCGCCGCCTGGGTTTTCGCCGCGTCAAAGCTCGGTTCCCTCCCGCCTTCTGCACCAAGGCCTCGTCTTCCGGCTTGTTGAAGCGCACCGCCACCGTCCACTCATGCACACGGGGGCACCCGATCGGCGGCTCTTCAATGCGGCCATAGTGTTCCCCATTGGCGGCGCGTGCAGCGGCCTCGTCGTCGGGGAGGAGGCGGTAGAGGTTGCCCACCTTGCAGGAAGTGTGGTGCTGAAAATTGCGCTTTTGGCAGAAGTTGAGACTTGCAAGGATCTTAGTGAGGGGAATTGGGGAGCGTTATGACGAGCAGCCCAGGAGCGTGCAGGTTGTCTTGCTTGTTAAGGTTGGAGTGCGGGAGGGCAAAGGAAAGCAGAAAAAATCTGGAGCTCCTTCCAAGCTGGACTCATCGTCCCCGGCCTGGACTGTTTGCTTTGGGGTGGCATAGCCACCAAGCCGGGCCACCTCCTTCGTCTTCGTCCGAATTGAAGTGGCAACATGCGACACGCATTGTGGCACCCTGACGGAGTCACAACAAATACACATTACACAATTAGCGCCCAAGCAGTCCTTGTGAAGCTCCAGACCTTTCAGAAGGCCTCCCGACAAGTTCGTCTGACCACCTCATGTGGGGACGGCTGGATGACAGGGACCGGCTGCCAGGGTGGAAAGGTCTCAGAACCGTCGTCCAAAGCTGCCCTTGTGGTTCGAGACCTCAGGACCTTTCGTAGGCCCTTGCAGAGTCTCCAGATCCAGCTGCAGTGCTGTGGACACCACAGTGCTTTTTTGAAGTACAGGGGGCCGGACCACCCAAACCCTCCTGCAGGCCGGACCACATGGACTCTCAAAACCGTCATTGGAAAGGAACACACGGTCTTCCACGGGGTCATTTTCAGGGTCCATGTTAGTCTGCAGGGAGGGTAAAATTGGGATGTCACTTTTGGAGAAGATGGTCTTCCTATCCATCCGTCGGAATCAGTTGCAAACTGTGTTGACTGTGTTGACGGAGGACGACGCACTTAACCCAAATGCCTTAAGTAGCCTCTTTCTATCTATATATATATAGATATAGATTGATGTGCAATTCCATGATTCCATACAATTCCATAAGATGAATCAGAACACATCCGTACAAATTCCATCCACCCCCAAAAAAAGAAAGTGTGGCACTTCCTCAAACCAAATTCCCTCACAATTCCCCCATCACTTCCGCGGCCTCCAAACCGCCCTCACCCCTTCGTCCTCACCCGTCCTTCCAAGCCGCTGATCTGGATCTTCTCCACCGCCGCCTTGAGCCGCTCGCGGCCGGCGGCGTCGCAGCGCGTGAGCGGGCAGGTGACCTTCACGTCGCTGCCGTACTCCACGATGCCCAGCGAGTCCTGCGGAGCACGGAGCACGCCCGGCACGCGCCGAGGGAGGGCAGGGAGGGGCCAAGAGGGCAGGGGATCAACACCCCAGGTGAAAGTGGTCCCAGAAAACGCGCGAGGCGCGGCGCTGGGGGGGGGGGGAGTTTTTGGGGCTGCCCAGTGGCGGTTCAGAGGTTTAGTGGAGGTTCGGTGAGCCAAGGGCACAAGGTGGGCAAGGTGCCACTGGGACATAAACCACGGGAGAAACCGTGTCCAAAAAAAAAGGAAACTTTCAGTCTCTCAGGTCATTTGATGGGGCTTCGGCCGGAGAGACCGAGCCCCGAGCCCTTCATTTCCGGGGCAAATCCTTCTCGCACAAGTAGCGGAGCATGAAGATCATGGTCTGCTTCACCAGGCGGATCTTCTCACCTCGCTACCAGGTTGCCAGGAGCAGTGGCGAAGCTGGTGGAGAAGGTCAGACATGTGTGCACCGTGGTCCGAATGCCTCTGTCTCTGATAAGCCCCTACTAAACTACGATCAAGCTTTCAAGATACGTCCAAATCACCCCCTTGTGCACAGCCTCTCCCAAGAACTTAGAACCTTTATGGCACCCCACTTCCACCGAGATGATTATATACCACCCTAGAAATCAAGCGATGTCATCAGAAAATCCCTCTGCACAGCCCCACCAACACTGCCTTGCATGCTGCCGCTCTTATCCAGCACTGCCACCAGGTTCAAGGGCGCGCGCTGGTCGCCCTGCTCGTGTGGCGCCACCACCGACAACACCGCCCGAAACTCTTGCGCCTCAAAGGCCACAACTGAGCGTTCCAAGGCCACCTCAGTGCGCATCGAAACAGGGAGCCAGCTAAGCTATGTGAATGGGAATGGCAGGGTATGGTGAGGCAACTAGGCTGCAGCACGAAACTCTGATCCTCACTCTGAAAATCGACCGCGGCACCAGCGGCCCTTCACCCTCCCTCCCACACTCGCCAGCCTCACCTCGGCCCGCAAGCGGTCGGCAGCGTTGACGGCCTCGCCCTCCACCACGCTCCACCCATCCAACGCCGAGGAGGGTGCATTGCTGAGCACTTCGTATGAGGCCATGCTGGTCATCGAGAAGACGCGAGGAGGAACCCGCGGGGCGGGTCGTGAAGCACAGAGCGCGTTTTTTCCGGCCGCGGGGCGTTTGGAAAGCAAGGTCTGCGGAACGGAACCGGTCGATCGCCAAGTGCCAGGTACACGGAACATGCCAAACATCCCATGTCTGTTTCTTATTGCAGAATCCCCAAACACCTTACAAGACTGTGGCTTTTTCCTCGTCTCATTCGGATCTCTTCCTTCAACCGGTCTGCCACGGTCTACCGCACCCTCACCGGCTCCACACCGCACCCTCACCGCGCCTTCCCCGCAGGCGGCCATGCTAATCCGCCGGTCCAACAGCCAGCGGTTCAGCACGGTGAGCGTCGCCGCCAGGGCGGTCTTGCGGTCCGCCTGGCACGGCGCGCCAAGAGCGCAGGTTCCACCAGCGGCGCCAAAGCATCATCAACCCAACCCGTGTACTTCCGAGCGGGCACTCCCCTGATCAAGATGAGGGCGTGACTCTTGGGGGCTTCGGGTCCATGCGGCCAGGTCGTCGGCATGTGTTGGAGAATGCCGAGCAACACACCGTCTTCGATGTTTCAGTGCCCAGACTCGAAGAGAAACTCAGAGATGGGCCAAAGAACTCCAGGTTCTGCCGATCAACTCCGAGTTGCACTCCCTTCCCAGGACCTTATCTTCTTCGTATGTGAGTCTTCGTCCGAAGGTGTTCATGGCGATCCTCTCTGACGGAGTCGGCGCAGATATCCCTCTTGCTGGCTGGAAAACCGTCGATCCAAACCTAGATCATCTTCATGCGCCCAACCAGAAGTGTTCCAAGAATGATGGCCTTTGGACTCCACTGGGTTGTTCTCCTTCTTGGACTCTTGCAAAGCTTAATTTCTAGATTACACGAAGCCTTGTATGGCCGTTCACAAGTGTTGAAACCATAAAGGGAAAGCTGAAGGATTGAAGGATCAAACTCAGACTACCAACTTGACGGAGTTGCCCCCAGAAGACGGGAAAGCTGCCTTGTCAGCAAAGGAGATCAGCACCCCAGAGAGGGACATGATCATGGACCTGGAAGACGCCAGCGATTTTAGGTCTTCCGAGCGGCACTGCAGCGGCAATCAGTGGCGAAGTGGTCAGTTCTATGACCCGTGGATGATTGCTATGACCCGTGGCTGGTGTTCAAGTCTTCAGGGGCCAGCTTCCTCTGAGTTCGCATCCTGAAGGATGCCTCACAAGCACATGTTGCACCATTGTATGGAAGGTCCATGTCATTGCCTATGCTGCTTGCAATTCACAAGTGTGCCGATAGCATACCACCCATGCCGAGACACAGGCATTCTGCTTGAAGCTCGTCGATTCGAAGCTCGGTCTAAAGCCGATCCGAGGAGCACGAGCTGGTTCTGCGTGTTGAAGTAGTCGCATCTCCTCTTCTTCATCATGCCTGGGACGTCCCCGGCAAAAGCTGCGTCCAGGGCTTCTTTTCCGCCGTCATCTGTGTCGTAGTGGTGCTTCTTGCCGGTCTGGGAAGACCAAAAGAACATGCCCAAAAAAGCCTTCAGTCCGAAAAGGCTTCGGAGCCTTGGACGCGACTCACTCATCACTCATCACTCCGAGCCACACTCACGGGCGCGTTCATCTTCAAGGACCTCCTCCTCATTCCCATGGCCGGCGACCGGAAGGCCCAAGCAGATGAAGGCCTGAGAGCATGAAAAATGGAAAAGGCGGGAGGGTCCGAAAGGGAACCACCTCCTATACACTTGAGTCCGAAATGGAATCCAAGGAGGTGGATTCCTAATACACTTGAAGGGAACCACCTCCTTGGACCCTTGTGCTGGGCACACGCATCAGACAACCAGTCGGCTGACTTGGCCAAAGTGCATTGGGGCAGCTGCTGCCCAAGGCCTGGCAGTGTTCACAAAAGAAACAAACAAAAACTGACCACAAAGCTTAACAATTGGAGTTATAACCAAAGGAGTTTTCTTCCACCTTGGAAAATGACTCTAGGTTTTAAAAACGACGACAACCCTTTTCCCACCGGTGTTTCCGGGCTTTGGAGGCGCCCTGTGGCATTGGCCACTCGAAATCGAAACGCATTGGTCGATGAGGATCGTCGGCTGGAACCTGAAAAGAATCGCAACCGTTTGGCGGTTGAAAAGCCCTTGTTGTAGAGCTTCCAGCCCGCCTGAGCCCGCTCTTCTGGGGTAAAGGCTTGCTCCTCGGCTGGCAAGTGAATACTCAAGCATTGGGGAAGTCAAACCGATCAGTCAGAGTCATGCTGCAAATCGAGAGTGTCAAAGCGTTCTCCCTATGCATGTGCAAACCTGAAACTTGAAACCTCAAACCTCCCCAAAAGCTTCCTGTTTGGTGCCCTCAACCGGCAAATTCAGAGAGACTTTGGGAACACCCGATGCTCATGGCACGCCAGGTGCCAAACGGCTGTTCTCATCCTCTCCGCCTTGGGACCTTCGCCCCCCCATCGACTGCACGGACGAGCGTCCAAGGCTGCCAGGTGCCTCACCGCCGCGGCACGTAAGGCCTCGGCCTGCGGCTGTGGGCCGTGGAGACCGCGAGCCGAAGGGTCCAAAAGGAGTGCGCGCCCTTTTCGGGGGGTGAGGGTGGTGAGGGTGGTGAGGGTGTCACTCCAAGTTCTTAGCAAGTGGTGGTTTTTTCCGGTTTCGGCAGTGACCCATCGGGTCTGTGAAAAAGGGCGACCGGGTCCGTCGAGAGAATCCCTCGGATTGAAACTAGAACAACCGAGTGGCACCAAGGCTTCTTCCAAGCTTCTTGCAGGGGTTCTGGGACTCCAACGTTTGACCCAGCGAGAGGCGGAGGCTCGACCACCCAAACCAAGTGCCAGGGCGACCGGTTGGTGAAGGAGTTCGGCACCGTATGCGTCTCTGAAGCCCCCGTCCACCTCGATCCACCGCCCAGGGGCGTGGCACCTCGGAGAGGAGGCCGGACGCTCCGGGCGTGGCTTCCAGGTTCTCATCCACGGAGCTCTCCTTGGACATCCCCAGACCGTTTCCCAGGAGAACGACACCGAATCTGATTCCATCCCGATTGTCAGCGGATCTTTGATGTCGCAAGCGCGAGCACGCGCGAGAGAGAGAGAGAGAGAGCGCGCGCCAACTTCTTCCAATGTTTGTCGGGGATCTAGAAGGCAGAGTGAAGTAGACCTTCAATAAGGGTTAACGACGAACGACTACATAAAACTAAAGCCCTCCATTTGGATTGAAAAACCATGAAAAACCTCTTCATAGGCTTCATAGGGGTGGTTCTAAAAAAATCAAGAGTGAGTCTAGAGTCTAGATCATTCTACAGCGTCCTCGATCCCAAGCCCGTTGCTCTTGCGGCAGGGTGCCCCGCTGATCTGCCGCGGAGGCGGGTGGAAGCGCAGCCCGTGGTCCGTCTCGCTGTCCGTTGGCGTGGGTGGGACCTCTGGCGCCTGGGCGCAACCAAGGTGCCCTAGCAGCAAACCTCTAAGAGAAAAGAAAGAAAAAAAAAAGAAGAGGAGGAGGAAGAAAGAAGAAAAGGAGGATCAAGAAAGAATAAAAGTTTAAAAAATAAAAATAAAGAAAGGTGTCCTTTCCCCTTTTCTTCCATGTCCCCCCTTCCTTGGTCGAGGGCTCTATGTAAACCTGAATGCCATTTCACTAACAGCTGGGCCCGTGTCTAGTGTAAATGCAATTCCTTATCCATACGCACCAGCAACACATATATGATTGAACATTGAAACGTCCTTCTCCGAGTCATCCACGTGGAGAGTAGGGTTTCCCCACCAAACCCACTCAGTAGTAGAGAATGGGTTTGGTCTTCCAAGGGCCTATCTTCCACTTCCGGGAGTGTACTTCGCATGATCCTTCTGGCCCGTCCAAGGCACGCCATCTGCCTCGCGCGAGCGCATGGGCCCGGGAGTCCTCGCGCGGCCCGCGGCCCGTGGTGGACCATCGACGACCACCGCAAAGGCATAAACCATCTATAATATATATATAGATAGATAGATAAATAGTTGGTTTAGTGATATGATATATATATATATATATGTGTGTGTGTGTGAGATATATTATATATGATATAAACCATCTATATGATGGTTTAGTCCAAACAATTTCCAACACTAGGTCCGGTTCAGCTGGTGATATCTTAGCCCTGTCTCACACCGTGCTGGTAGGTGCTGGTGGCTTCTTCTTGGCATTTCGGCGGCATCTCCCCATCAGTTGGCCCCCCCCAAAAAAAGGATGCGCGCAGTTGGTAAACCGGTGTAAACCGGTGTAAATCGGTAAACCGGTGTAAACCGGTGTCAATCGGTAAACCGGTGTCGTCAAATACCAGACGCGCGTGATCCCCCTGCGCTCCTGCTGCGGCGGTACCGGGAGCGCTGCTTGGGCGTCAGGACGTCTCGCTCCTCCAAGTCCTCGAGCTGCGGACGTCGAGCGACGCAGCACCGCGCGCAGCGACGCAGCACCGCGGCGCGCGGCGCATGATCACCGAGGACCCCCGGCGTCCACCGAGGGCTTCCGGTTGGACTGCAGGTCTGGATCCGAGCTCGACCTCACCCACGCGCTTGCCACGGGAGGCAACCGAACGGGAACCTTGGGACACATCCAGATCTGTCATAGGGAGACCATCCGGCGATTGGTTGAGCCAAAACGAGAGGTTCCACCTCCCCCCCGCGGCTCCCGCCTCAAGATACGCTGCACGTGCGGCGGGCCAGGTGCCACCTGTGCCGTGCGTATGGACGCCACGGTGACCACCAAACCATTGGGAAACCTCAAGAAAACCCAAAGTAGAGAGTGTAGGTGCATCGGATCTCCGAGGTCGAGATTTATACCACTGATTTCGTGCGTGAGTGGCGGGATGGGGTCAAACTCGCACAGCCGCCTTTTTGCTTTAGGTTGGCGTGTCTCACCAAGCGAGGAAAAATCAAATGAGAAAAGGTGCGCCTCACGCGTGTGAGCACATGAAAGCTGAGCATCTTTTAAAAGTGCCCGTCAAGAAATCATTGCATCTACTCAATCTATTCGGAATCTACTCAATCTACTCCGGGCTCACTTGGAGTCATCCAATGTGGCCACTCCAGGCAACACCTTACCTTCCAACAGCTCCAAGGAAGCGCCGCCGCCAGTGCTGCAGTGGGAGACCTGTTTTTGTTCAGCCGCAACCGGATCTTTGCCCAAAAGCAACACATTGGCCCTTGATCATTCTATCAACACTGTCCATGGCCATAATTCACCATATTCATCCACAATCACCCGGATCTATCATTTTTCACTGTCTATCACTTATATATATTCTCAACAGTTGCTTCTCCCACAAGATCTTCACCCACTAGTCCCGGCACCTTGTCCACGGTGTCATAGACCTTGCACGCGGTGGCCGTGTCGCCGCCGCCGATCACGGACACAGCACCCTCCTTGGTGACCTCGACGATGGTCTGCATCCTGGGCAGGTTGGTCGACTGCATTCGGCGGAGAACGACGTGTGGCGGATTTGGGTGGCGTCTGCGATCTTTGATGTGTTTTGCCTGCTAGAGGGCCTCTGGCCTCTGATATGTCACACAACTCATGAGCCGGGCATCATCTGCTTGGTGCCCTTCTCGAAGGCCTTCATCTCAAAGACGCCCATGGGGCCGTTCCACACCTGAGCGAAGCTTGCTCAACATCTTGGACACACTAGGGTGAAGGGTTCGCCTTGCAGCATGCGCATCAGATCCATCCATAAAAAGGCTTAGGCTATCCGAACAGGCTTCAAACACTCAATGCAGGCGAGGCACAATGGTCTTGGACTTCTTGATGGCCTCATCGTTCATGGCAATGGACTTGGGGCC